TTTGAGACTGAGTCTCACTCTGTCACCCTTTGTAGACTACAGTGGCGTCACAGCTCACAGCAACTTCAAACTCTTGGGCTTAAGCAATTCTCTTGCCTTACCCTCCCAAGTAGCTGGTACTACAGGCGCCCACCACAACATCTGGCTATTCTTTTGTTCTTTTGTTGCAGTTGTCTAAGCTGGCCCCCACCACCCTTGGTGCATGTGGCTAGTGCTGTAATTAGTACAGGTGCAGGCGCTGAGCCTTTTTTTTTTTTTCTTTCTTTTTTTAATTGAGACAGTCTCACTTTGTCCCCCTTGGTAAAGTGCTGTGTCATCACAGCTCACAGCAACCTCAAACTCTTGGGCTCAAGCGATTCTCTTACCTCAGCCTCCCTAGTAGCTGGAACTACAGGAGCCCACCACAACATCCAGCTATTTTTTTTGTTGTGTAGCAGGCCCAGGCTGGTGGTTCAAACCCACCAACTCCAGAGCATGTGGCTGGTGCCCTTACCACTGAGCTATGGGCGCCCAGTCTTTTCCCTTCTATTGATCAAAGGTTATTTATTTATTTATTTTAGAGACAGTCTCACTTTATCACCCTTGGTAGAGTGCTGTGGCATCACAACTCACAGCAACCTCCAACTCCTGGGCTTAGGCGATTCTCTTCCCTCAGCCTCCTGAGTAGCTGGAACTACAGGCACCTGCCAGAACGCCCCGCTATTCTTTTGTTGCAGTTTGGCCGGGACTGGGTTCAAACCCACCACCCTCAGTATACAGGGCAGGCAACCTACCCACTGAGCCACAGGCCCTGCCCTCCTTTCTATTGATAACAGGGTTCCCCATTTAAGCCTGGACAAGGGACCCCAGTTTCCTGGGCCTAGACAATTTCATGAAGAGAATACCCCAAGCTAGAGGGATTGACTTGGATATCCATTTACTGTGAACCCTAGATCACCCTCTAAGGAACCTCTAACTGCCCACCTATATCACGGTCCGCCTTCATCAGGAAGCAGTTTAGAGCAGTCA